ATGCGATGTGAAATCCGAAACATTTAAAAAAAATAATAATAATACTTTATTCCGAGTGTGCTTGCTTTTCTCTTTGAAAGTCATCACATAACGGCATTGTAATACACGGTTCGGCTGCATTAAATATTACATATCTGCCGTAGTTCTTTATTTATAGAGCGCTGATGAGAAGACTTCTGGACAAACAGGAAGACCTGCCGCCAAAACGGAAAACGTGACGTGGATCATAAATATATCAGCAATTAAACAACATCTTACATTTATTTTCACACAATGCGTCTCCTTGCAGTATCAACAATAATTCAGCTGACTTTTATATTTGATCCAATTGGTAGATAGGCTGTATTTACACCATAACGGTGCACAGCTGATAGAAAGGGACACCTGGTGGTTAAAGCACGTTATTGAATTTTATAATTTTATTATTAGATATTAATAGGATCCCTATAAAGTATATTCATTACTCGTTATTCTCAACCAATAGTTAATTAAAGACTGTATATAATGATTATTTTGCACATCCCTTTCAAGATTTTCTTAGGTTTGTTGACATATCATAACACAACTACGGTGTAGTTATGCAATGAATGAAAAACTTGGGTCGCAGGTTCCTCAACAGTGCATTACAAGACATCTATCAATATGTGTGTATACCTCCACACTGAAAAAAAGGGGAAAGTGGGGTTGTTCAATTTGCAAATATGCATTTAATATATGACACATAATTAATTCATGTTTCTCGTCGAAACATGAATCAATCATGTAGAACTATGTTAATCTTGAGGGGTTTGCGTTCTATAAGTCTCAATCATGTTAAGAAATAAGAAAAAAGTTATGTTTGTCTCTGTAACTCCGCCCACTGAGCACATACGTCAGCAGCTTGCTCTGCAGCCGATTACTCAGCTTCTAATTATTATTTACAAATATTTTATCCACAAATGAATATGGTCGGACTCAAACCCGTACTTTAATAGTTTCGTAATTGAACCTGAACAATATGGCACTTTAATGGACAAGATGTAAAGCAGAAAAAAATTGCAAAATATATTTATTTTTAAAAATGTGAAGCTTTTTCTTTTTTAAACAAAGGAGGGCGGGGAGGGGTTCTACCATATTTTCTTCCCTCATCGGAGGAGTAAGCTGATTCTGTCCCGAGAACATCTCTACAAGGTAAAAGTTATTTAAAGTTATTTAATGTCATCAAATGTTCGTCATAGTTACAGGTTATCACAAGACGCATTGTTTGCAAAAAGCAGAGTTCACATTTGCCGTTACAACGAGCAACGTAAATACAGCTGTCAATTTGTAAACATTGTCATTCACTGGTGTTAGCTAGGATAAAGCCATGAAAATCATAAGGTGAGTTTATATTGATTGACTTGTGTTTAGCGTGTTTTTTTATACTGTGAGTATTTGTAGAGCGTAAGTCCGACAGTTGCTTGATTTACAATATTTAAAACTATGAACCTTGCCCAAAGTTATGCACATTAAACCGAGCTCAGTGGGGAGGGGGGAGTCATATCTGATGGATGAGCTTGGCATGTTTGCATGTCTATAGGCTATGTCTTGTTTTAAATGCAGGGTGGGTCAATTTGAGGGTGATTGTGGTGACCAACATCATCCAGTTGTGGTTTCGTACCTAATTATGCACACAAAAAAATGGGTGTTACAACCCCTTTAATTTACCTATTTTGACGTGCCTAATAATAAATAATAATAATAATAATAGAAATTAATAGGCGAGCTAGCCCTTGATCCAGTGGCAAAGGGCGTCGCTCGAGGGCAACTGTCGAAGAAACACCCGGACCCGACCCACGTCACCGCCCTGAGTCCGGTAGCCCTGCTTGGGCTACCGGGCCAGAGCTATTCAGTGATTCGTGGTAGGGGGTGAGGGGGGCAACTGGTTAAAATGATTCAACAGTTGGCTTTCACCCGGCCAGCTCTCAGGCGCCTCGCCTAAAATTCAGGGTCAGTGGTGACCGATGTACTGGCAGTGGACTAGCGGGAAACTGCGTGCTCATTAAGATTGAAGATTGTCTTTGATGTGTTTATTTGGTCTAGTTGAGAGTCGGAGTATACTCGAGAGTCTTGTGCAAAGTTGTTAATTTGACAGTAGCGGACAGACTCGAACGACGAGCACACGCGGTAGGCACGCAAATTGTACGTCTACGACCCTAGGACTTGCCATCGTCGGACCTCGCGACACCGTCGTAACTGGCAGTGGCGGGCGTATTATAAGCGGCCCGTGAACTTCTTAGGGTCTCTTCTAGGTCCTTTACCAGTGTTAATTCCGTCTAATTAGCCAATAGTTCTCAATGTTTTATGAGGGTTTTTAGAGCAAGTCCTGATTGCCAAAAGGTTCCCCTGGTGTAGTAAATGGAGGTTGGTGAACTCCCCAGGACCCTACTACCCGCCTTATGAGCGAGCANAATCAGTCATTAAAATCAGCATCAGGAAAAGCAGCTACATGTGTGTACCAGGGTGTCTATAATAGTGACATTGAAGGTGCGGGGGGAGACAAAGGTTTTCATTTGAAAACCTTTGTCTCCCCCCGCACCTTCAATGTCACTATTATAGACACCCTGGTACACACATGTAGCTGCTTTTCCTGATGCTGATTTTAATGACTGATTGAACCACAGCAATATTCTTTTAGAGTTTTTATATGTTTAACTGCTATGCCTGTCATCTTTGCTCTATGTGTTTGTGTTGTTTCCTCGGTTCTGTAGTGCCCGGATCTTTTTATTTTTTTCCCTCCCAAACCCCATCCCCTCAGGAAGCCTTTGCCTCCTGTCAGGTCATCATTGTAAATAAGAATGTGTTCTTAATTGATTTTCCCGGATAAATAAAGGTTCTACTACTACTACTACTTTCAGGTCTGGGTGTGGCCCCCTTTTGACCCTTTGTCTCAATAGCCGCGTTCACACCGCAGTACTTTTCCCACTTTAGTTCCGATATAGTTCCGAAATGTCGCGTTCACACCAAAAAAAGCCGGAACTAAAACTAGTTCATGAGAACCTTTTTACCCCCTTTTCAGTCCCTGCTAGAGAGCAGGTACTTCCGTGGGAGAAAAAGGTTCCTGTGTCTGATTGGCAAACCACGCCCCGTCAAACTCCCAAAAAGTTTTGTGAAGCCGCCATTTTATTATCCTTGCATTAGCATGATTAGCATTAGCCCAGCGCAGAAACGCAGAGAGACTAACTTATGGCAACACAAAATAAAACATGGGAGCGGTGGAGATGAGGAGGTGTCGGCGTTCTGGCGATTTAGTCGGAAGGCTTCAGTAGAAGTAGGAGTCCCAGCATCTGGGACTCCCAGCAGCTTCTACTGAAGCCAGTCCCCAACTCCGGGGACTTCCGGCCAGGGACTCCGGGTGGCAGTATACGCCGTGAAGTTGTTTGCAGTCTGCCAGTAAACCCAAAGCAGAAGAAGAAGAAGTGACGTCAGCGGCTTCATTTGCCTAATCCACCCTCAGGAACTAATTTCCGGGGTGAACGCGATCTGTACTTAGTTCATGAGAACTAAAGAGTTCTCAGGAACCTTTGTGGGAAAAGTACTTGGTGTGAACGTGCCTAATAATGCACATAATACAACCAAGGCTTTTGCAGCCACTACAACCTAAAGTAATTATCATGTCTCTTTTTCCTCAAATAGTTCCACCTCATGTGACACTAGACTAGGTTTATGTATTTGCAGAGAAGACGTTGGGAGGATATCAGGTTTATATAAATACACTGAGGCATTTGTTCTTTCATTATTAGGTGTTAGAATGAGTCTTATCAAAGATGCAAGCTGTATCTGATTTCAAAGTTAAGCTGATTCAGAGAAATGCTTAATAACAGGGACATAAAGACTTCTCTTTGCATTGTTTAGTAANGACTTCCGGCCTGGGATTTTGGGCGGCAGTATACGCCGTGAAGTTGTTTGCGGTCTGCCAGTAAACCCAAAGCAGAAGAAGAAGAAGTGACGTCAGCGGCTTCATTTGTCTAATCCACCCCCAGGGACTTATTCCGGTGTGAACGCGATCTGTACTTAGTTCATGAGAACTAGAGAGTTCTCATGAACTAAGTTCTCATGAACCTTTGTGGGAAAAGTACTGCGGTGTGAACGCGCCTATTGACACCTCCCCCCCACACTTTCTTGACCAACGACTCATTCTCACTTATATCCACAACTAGAGGTTGAAATTAACCAGACATCTGATTCCCCGCCCATAACAAAGCTTACTGCATCTACTAACAGAACAATCACACACAGGCCCTGCTTCACAGTGACAGGACATCTACAACAGCCTTAACATTAGCATGTGATTAGAGGCGCAGTCAGCAACTCTGCCAGGATGCTCTTTGAAAATGGCCGTCGTACACACTAGTGTTCCCGATTAGTGCTTTATGTATTCTGCAGAGTGGAAGGGAACAGACTAACCTTGCCAAGGCAATTATGGAGGAATCTTTTTTTCCACAATTAGACTAAAAGGCACAACTTAAAATCCCTGACATGACAAGATATATATTAAAAAAATATGTTGTCCGTGCATAATGAGAATTTCTATCAATTTAAATGTACAAGAAAAATGCTATTTAAATTAAAGTCCAGCTTTCAGTGTGTAGATCATGGCTTTATAAAGAATACTCATTCGTAGAGTTAGTTTACTTTCAATTTTCGGCGCTCTTAATCATTAAAGCGGCTATTTTGAGACATTGTAACTGATAAGCTAAGGGCCGGTACATCTCTAACAGTTGACCAATCAATACCGAGCTGGCCAGATAACCAATCAGAGCAGACTGGGCTCTGGTTTCAGACAGAGGGTGAAAAGAGGTGCTGCAGCACAGGCATGGGGAAAATAAAGACCTTTTTGAACATTAAATCATTTAAACACGTCACAGTAGAGACACAACATAGAAATATGAACCTGAAAATGAGCAGAATAGGGCCTTTTTAAGTTATGACAATTGCAAAGATGGATTCTTCTTAATAAATGATTTCTCTCTCTTCCTCAGGCCCATCCAGACAGAGCCCTCTCCTGATTACCCTCAGTGGTAACTATTCCAGCCCTCTGAGCATCACCAGCTCAAGTAACAGGGTCTACCTGCACTGGTCCTTCGATCACACCACCAGCCACAAAGGCTTCCGCATACGCTACTCAGGTACGTCATGACCAGACTTACACCAGCCTGAAGTCACAAACTTTTCAGACAATGTTATTTTGGCTGTCCTTTTAGAATGGATCAACAGAAGAACTCGTAGACATTGTTGTATGTGCAAACTCAACAGAGGTGCCTTTGGTTCACTGTGCCAACAAGACCAACATTTAGGCTGCCAACTGCAGCTGAGATAGCAAGAAATAAAACCCATCTCCATGACAACCTACCGAGGGCGACGGGCATCTGCAGCACTCCTCGCTGTGCACCACAGGCCTAGGAATGACTAAACGCTGTTTATTTTGTATTTCTTATTATTCTTCTGTTCTGTCCTGCTCCCAAGAAAGATATGTTGGTATACGACACCTGCATAATCGGCTCTGAATTATGACTGTGTAAATATTTAAAAGGCTCCCTCCGTTCTGTATCAACAGCACTCAGCCAGATTGACTAATCGTCTCTCCCCTCCTCTCAGCGGAGCGCTCCGTCTCCCCTACCGGATGTTCTGTCGTGTCTCTCTGTCCCTTTTTTATTTATTTCTTGCCTCTTTTACTTTTTTTTATCTTAAGCCATGATGGATTTTGCCATAGCAGGCTAAGAGACAGCCAAACTGAAGGGATGGCTGAGAACCCGCGAGTTGCCATGGTCAATATGGAGGTGCCTTATGTAGTGCCTTGGTGGGGAGGAAGAAACAGATGGCAGGTTCATGTATTCACCGGTTCCCTTCATCAATCCATCGCTTTTCTCCGTGGGCAGGACTTCCATCAACAACTTGCAGAAATCTCCTCTAGCAACTGGCCATCGCATTTTTTATTCTTACTCTCCATCCATAGCCTCAATCGCTGTTTCTCAATCACCTAATTTAGTCTCTCTTCTATCAATTCAACCAACTTACTTAGTATCTTTCCAGCCATCTCCTTAAGCTCATATGTCCCTCCCTCATCTGTATTCTTCCTCCCACTTCCTCCTCCTCTCCATTATCTATTCCAATCCAGTCACCTGCCAATGTAGATCGCATTCCTCTGAGCTGCAGGGCTGATTGCAGGGAGACAAGCTGTGTACTATAACAGGCAGAGAGAGGGAAGGAAAGGGGAACACAGAGATAGAGGAGAATGAGTTGGACTCAGACAGACGGGAAGAATTGAACTCGAGGGTGGCTCAGGAACCGCCAGTCTCTCTGACTGACATATAGAAGCTCATTTGATGTAATACATATCATTGGAAATATAACATGGGCTTACTGGACGTGTTGTTTCCTTATGTTACGTAGCCATCAAGGGCAATAATGAGAATCCACCTTTGATGATTGTGAAGATTGGTTCAACCTTGAACCTCACAATATGTCCAAATCCTTAAAGTACATTGCTGTGTGACATCTACTAAGAAATCTTTCTGAGTGAACCACAGAGTCATATTCCACAAAACGTATTTTTTTCATCTAACATCTGTTCAATGCCACACACTGTTATGAAATGTCCCAGATTGTCTGTGCCCTTGGAACAATGTGTGAGAGACAGCAACATCTCATAAGTGCTGTAAAAATATAACAGCTCTGACATGGTTTTATTTTTACACCGAAAGGGAGTTGTGTCTGTTTGCATGGTGCTAAAAATATGCAGTTACTTGAAAGAGATGCTTTCAACGTGAGCTATAGGTTTGACATTTTCATTATTATATATTAATGTAATGTGATCCTAGTGTAATGTATAATACACTTTGTTGTGTCCCTGGTCCACTTCTATCCTGTCCTCTCTACACAATAGGCACTATTTCCTGCGTAACAAAGCCATGAATTGTTGCATCACAAAATTACAATATTATCCAGGATGTTTTCGCGATGTGTGTTTTTATTTGTTTGCCATAAGTGTAATTTTACCGTATGACTGTTAGCCCCAGAAACCCTTCATTCTTTAGGGTCCACAGATCACTCGGTATGATGAATGGTTATTGCATCCCCCAATTTAAGCAACAAACAACAACAGATACTTCCTTCCTGTTATTATGTGTTCATCACGTTGATGATCCTCCTCTGCTGTTGCTGACAAACTCCTGTTATGCTATGCAGAACATTATTTTCCTTTAATCAATTTTCCTTGTATCCAGTCTGCATTCTAGCACTAGTATTAATACGTATCCTCTTTTACTATGCCAGGCGTAGAAGATGGATGCAAAACAGATCTGGGGCACATTATTCCTTCACCTCCTCAACAACAACAGCTTGCATCATTATTGGGTTTTTATGCTTGTTTTGCGCTCAGTGTTATCAGTATTCGTGTTTATATCTCTACCTATTTGTTTGTTTGTTTTTATAGCTGCCTACTGCAGCCCTCCGAACAACCCTGTAAACGGCACAGTGCACAGTCTGACGGGCACCAAGCTGGGCAGCACCCTGCGTTTCAACTGTGACCAGGGCTTCCGGCTTATTGGACAGAGCAGTGCCACATGCACCCGCACAGCACAGGGGATCCACCAGTGGAACGCACCAGTGCCACTTTGCCAAGGTGAGGGTTCAATTATAGCCAGAGTTCAAAGTCAAAGTCAGCTTTATTGTCAAAATTACTACATGTGTTATATATACGAGTTGGAAGAAGTACTCGCATACCATACGATATGATAATACTTTAATGTTCAGATCAAGTCTGAAATGTGACTTCCATCACAGCAGCTCCATGTGTAACATCAACATGGACAAATATCAAGACAAAATACATGAAAAACAAACAACAATCATTTAACATAACAGCACAATCACTGAGAGAAAACATGCTCAAAGAGCCTTTAGCATTAGATGTGGGATTCAGCTCTGTATTTACTGTGAGGATTGACTGGTGCACAAAGGATGCTTCAGTCTGACTTCCTGGGACCCTGTATCTCCGATTAGATTCATATTGGCTGTTCAGAACATGGTTTAGGTCAGAGATGATGGTGTTGGACAGCCTCTCTAGGTTATTGTGGTATGCTGAGTCATAAAGTCTCTGACAGGGTTGACCAACAATTTTTGAGCAGATTGTTAACAGGTGGAGCGGTTTTGATTTGATTTGAAAGCTGTTGACAAACACTTGTACCAGGCAGTACTGCAGACTAAACAAGATCACAGATGTAAAGAACAGCAGAAGACTTTCTCTGCTCGCCCAAAAAGACCTATGGCGGTGAAGAAAATAAATGCTTTGTTTTAGTACATCTGACTAAAAATAAGAGTAGAGCTACCAGAGTGTAGAAATAATCCTGCATGCAGCTACTTGTAATCACTTTGTATGCTGCTGCAGTGTAGTTTGTGAATGTTACCAGGTGTAACTTGCGTCTTAGTTAAGTGTTTTTTTTTGCATCATTATTCCAAATTTGCAAAGTAATTAAAGGTATTAAATAAATGTATTGGAGAAAGGTTCACTATACCACTTACTTAGCACCACTGATCATAGCAGCAGGATATTAGAGAGGATAAGTAGGATGTAGATTGTTAATAAAAAACATGGATAAAGAAATATAGTCCATTGTTTTACATTTCCTAATTAAGGTGAGGCAAATTACATTTGTACAATCAGATGGGCAGGATGATTGTAAATGGCTAAAACAAGATTTTCTCTTAATTAAGTCACATTTCCTCAATGTTATCAATTCAACTGAGCTCATCCGGTATATAGGTGTATAGACTTCTCCAAAGTGATTAAATTAAACACTGTGCAGAGAAAACAAGATTTTAACATTCCTAGCATTCTCCTTTACTGATGTGCTGAGTTCAAGAAGACATTTTCTCTTGCAAATTCATTTTGTAAGTTGAAATTGTTCTGTTTCTGATCACTGATTCCATTTGCTTTGGATCACAGTGTGATTCCAGCTGACAGTGCCATCACCAACAGCCCCTCAGCCTTAGGCGTGCTTCAAGGAAGCTCACTTCACCCATCCTCAGAACCGCTTTGAAGATGGCATTGCATCAGATTAATGATAGTTGGTTTAACTGAGCTGAGGTGTTTGATATGTCAGTCTTGTGGGTTATAGCCACAGGTATCTGCTTGTCACTGTGCAGACTTTTTTCAGTGATACAATGAAACAAGATAAATGTCATTCTTTGCACCAGGACTGACACAACTGTGATGCACATAAATATAGTCAAAGCTTTTAAGGTTATCTAATTCAATTTAAAACTGCTTTTCCCCCTAACATAAACAAATGTAACTTTAGATTTGACAAGACTGTGATGCAGTTGCACCATCCTTATTGATCTCCATTTTTAGTGAATTATCTACAGTACAGTATATGTCTGTGTCTGGATTTTATCTTATACAGAATCACAAAAGCATTGAATCTATTTTCAGAGTCTAGTTTCCGACCAGATTTATTAATAGTATTAACTATTCAATGCCTGGTCAAATCTGCACCTGGTGTAATTTCCACAATAATTGCTCATGCTCTCTCTGGAGCCTATTGTTTACTCTGGTGCAGATGGCAGCCCGAGCTAATGTTTACTGCACATCAATTGATGCTCCTTCGCTGTGCAGGAAGCCTATGTAGAGCTTGGCACTGCATACAAAGATAGTTAAATAGTTAGTATATTTTCATTCTAAAAAGCACATGTTTCGACTTACTTCCCGACACATTCCTCATTCCCTTCTAGTGATGTCCTGTGGAATGCCAGTACCTCCGATAAACGGCAGTATTGTGGGCCAGGACTTCTCTCTAGGAGCTACGGCCACGTACCAGTGTAATCCCGGATTTCGCCTGGCTGGGCCTGTCACCACCTCAGTGTCATGTCAGGAGTCTGGGAGGTGGAGCCCCATTGAGACCCCGCCCAGATGTATTCGTGAGTATTTCTCTCACTGTCGGTTTATTTAGCTGCAGTTCCATTGTAACCGCACCAAACACAAATAGGTATTTATGTTAATAATTTGTGTTTGTCCTTTGACCTTCCAGCGGTGACCTGCCCCGACATCGGCCACTCTGCTGTTGAACATGGGAGATGGAGGCTAATCTATGGCACTCAAAACCAATATGACACTATAATGATGATCATATGTGACCCGGGGTATTACTACAGGGGTCAAATGGTCATTCGATGCCAGGCCAACAGCACCTGGAACTACCCTGATCCACGTCCAGTCTGCGAGAGTAAGTGTAATCTCCATGGTCTTTTTTTACCACAGTGTGTTGAGTTACGACATAGAGAACGAAAAGAAAAATAGTTATTGTAAAGCAGGAGAGTAATTGCATCCAAATGTACGATATCCCACTTTGATATTAAGAAAATAACATAACTAAACACAAAGAAATGTTCTAACTAAAACAAAATTAGATCACATTTTACAAACAAAACACATTTTGTTTTAATCTAGATTATATGTAAACCATACGGGAGTGTAACTCGACAAATTGATTTCTCATTGCAGTCATCTCCTGCGGGGACCTTGGGACTCCACCAAATGGCAACAAGATTGGAACACTGACTGTGTATGGAGCCACCGCCATCTTCTCCTGCAACACAGGGTATACCTTGGTGGGCTCTCGGGTACGAGAGTGTATGTCCAATGGGCTTTGGAGTGGATCACAGGTCCAGTGTCTAGGTGAGATCTTCAACACCCAAGAAATTATTGTATTCTTGCAATTTACTTCCAGACGCTTTGTTTGATGTTGACTCTTCTTTAATCCACAGCTGGTCATTGTGGCAACCCAGAGCCCATAGTGAACGGACAGATCATTGGGGAGAATTATAACTTTCGAGGCAGCGTTGTGTACCAGTGTAATCCAGGATTTCGTCTCATTGGTGTGTCGGTGCGAATCTGTGAACAAGCTCACGAATGGTCTGGAAACACTCCTGTCTGTGTCCGTAAGTAACAGAAAACAGCTCGTAATAAGTCAAACTATGGATGATATTGTGTATTTCTTTAGGCTTCTACCTGCTCAGATAAAGTGGGAACCCAGACTTTTACTTTTTACTAGGACAACCACCAAATTAAGAAAAAAACAATCTCGATACAAAATAATTGCCAATTCTGTCTCAGCATAATAGTGTTGCTAATAGATCAATAATGAATAGAGACATATATTACCTAGGGATGCCCTTATCAGGCCGTTACCAACTGCACATTCAGTGTGATTAGACCTGAGCCATCTGGTACTGATCACCAATTAATCCGGTTATTGAATATTTTTTTAGAGGAAGCTTCTGCTCAAGCTCCTGAATTAAAATCACATATATATATTTATATATAAAACCCACCTGTGCCTCGTGTCTAAGTTTTACCGTGACATTTTCAAAGATGGGGTAATTATCACAAAACGACACTCTGTATTTCTCTATAATATAATTTGCAAGATTATTTTAATGGAGGCCCGTGGCAAAAATTAGAGACATGCAGCTGCAGCGGCGCCTGTCGCTTTAGAGTTTGGATCATTACTCACCATCTACATTCAGTGATGATTGTTTTGCTGTGACGTTGCCTATTGCATTCCAGGGCTTGTTAATCTCGTGTTTGATTTGACTTTTACCCTCATTCGTCTGTTTCCTTTGACTTCCCCAGCCATCACATGTGGTCACCCTGGCAACCCTACTTTCGGATCGACCCAAGGAGCCCAGTTCAACTTGAATGACGCTGTGCGCTTTGTCTGCAACACCGGATACGTTCTGCAAGGGGCTGTCAAATCTAGCTGCCAGTCCAATGGGCAGTGGAGCAACGCCCTCCCCAGGTGTAAAAGTAAGTGTCCAGTACATTTTACAAGCTAATCAGTCTATGCATGTATGCGTTTTAGTAGAACCTCATGCCTACTAATGAATGGATGGGATGATAAAAGAACAATCACACATGGAAGTATAAATTATTATGCAATTTAAGGAGAGTTAAAGTAGTGCAATTTGTCATTTGAGCTTACAAATAGCTAATATGAGAGAACCATTAATCATTGTTGTTCTCATGACACCTCCATGAGCAAAAGGTATGAGTTAAAGTGGACCTATCATGCTATATTTGAATAATATAGTATAGGACCATACCTATATAAGGCATATTTATACTTTTTATTTTTCAAAATACCAAACAGATCATGCATTTTAGCCATTCCTCATTTCGCTCAATTTAACACTGTCTTTGCATGGGCTGATTCTGTGAGAACAGCACCATCTACAGGCCTGGCATATGTACTACAGCGTCTCCAGCGCTTTCCAACGGCAATGTCCGTGGCTGTCTCCTCCTGATTGGTGGAGTTGGCCCAATAGCCGTAGCGCCACTTCTGTGACGTCATAGAAGTGTTCAAATCTGGATCAGTCTTTATCAGATCCGCTGCAGCCCCTTTTTAAGAGATTTGGGTATGGAGGAAAAGAGAGAGGGTTGTGTTTTCTGACACTTGGTGAGTTCCCTGGAACACCGGGGAGTCCGGACACATATTCATGTAGAAAAAACGTACACAAGTGCATTTTGCATGACAGGTCACCTTTAAGGTTCAATTGCATGATGCATGCTCATAGCACACCAACAGAAGCCAGTCCTGCATTTTTTTATACGTATGTGTGTCCTGTGAATGATTCTAGTGCTAAATAAGCCAAAGACATCAACTGTGTGAATAGCCAATGCTCAGTGAACATTGTGATTAAGTTTATACGTACTTGTCCAGAGGGGTACGGTTTTGTGCTCTCCTCAATTTTTGTAGGTAGGTATTCAATTACTTATTGTATTGTGCAAGGTCATATCTTCTGTGACCAAAGATGACCCCAATCATAAAGAGAGCGTAGAAGAAGCGCAAAGACGCCCGGGAGGGAGAAGGAGTTTAAACGATGCATATTAGAGGGGAATTGAAATGAATAGCAAAAGAAAAGACTGGATTATTTAATTAACGCACTCTTAACCACTTGGTCCTGTGAGGTTTCAGATCATATTTACATGTGATGTTATTTCCTCTTTCCCTTGCTATCCCTGTGGCCCCCTCTGGCTCACCTGTCCATCAGGGAAGCACACTTGGTCCTTAACCATACAGACAAAGCCAAAAACAATCACAGGATCCTTGAGCCTGTGTGACAGACAGCAGCCTTTGGGAGAGCAGCATCCTGACTTTTGCTCAGAATAAGAAGTACCCTGTTCTGCGTGCAAGTGATGCAAAGACTCTTAATTTGGCAGTGTTTTTGAGACAAGCCATGTATCACCGGCACCCACGTCTGTCTCTAAGTCCCCGCTAACTGAGGGCTTTGTGACAGCCACAGAAAGGGCCCGCTCGCAAGGTCGGGCCCTGAATGCGACAAGGCAGTGACAGAATCAGTGACGGATTGACTTGTGAGTTTGTTTTAAATGAGCAGAGAAAGGACACGGCCTTATTTTTTCAGACATTTATGAAGGGATGAGGGGGGTTGCGAGTCCCACAGGAACCCTTCTCCAGTTGTTAAAAAGAGGGAGAAGTACATTTAGCTGCCGCATGAATAAGCAGGCGAGATTTTGTCCCAGACATACGCCTTAAATCTCTCCGCTCGAGTGGTGACATCACATTAGCATTGGCCTTGTTTTCATACAGATGATGACTCTGAGATGCTTTTTGTGTGCCTCTGTGTGAGTGGGGGGGTTGTGGGTCTAGTTTTATGACATATTATCCTCACTGTTGATGTGGAGACATAAGAAGCTTAGGGATCTTTTTGTCAATCAGATTTATCACCCTAATTACAGCATTCTAGACATATTTGGTGAGACATGCACTCCATGTGCTTCCTCATCTGAGAGGAAAACTAAGTGCTGGGATGACATCTGCTTCAACCATCTCATTTTAGCTTAGCTGGACTGTCAGCTTTCCTTTAAGAGGTAGAGACTAGTGGATAAAGAAGGCAGGCAACTAGGTAAGGAAGGGAAATTATTTAATCACTGAAAGTTAATGATTTTCACGGTCCAGATTCTAACTACAATCCTATAGGCTCCATCAGTAATGCAGGGAACAGTCTTCTATCCCTCCCTAATCAACACCAAGTTGAGTCACGGCAACAGAGCTTACAACACCGCCTTCTTTGGATGACTCGTGTGTTTATTTGTCTTTCAGCCAAGGCCGGATTAATACCTGCAGGGGCCCCTGGGCACTGAGCGCTCATGCCCCCCCCCCCACAACCAGTGGCGGACTTGGGGGAAAAAGTGGCCCGGGGTTTAATTGACAGACAGGCCCACTTAATGCGCGGCATGTTATATATTTTTTTTAATCCGAGCAGCCCTCCGGCCCACGCACAGCACCAGCCATCTGGGAAAACTCCCGGTATTCCCCCTAGCCAGTCCACAAAATGTGACATGAGTGAGGGTGGGGCTGTGATTCGGCTATACACCGCCGCCGCGTAGTAATAAAGTTGAGCGCATACATAGTGAGATCTACAGTAAAGAGACGGTTTAGAAAATATATTAATTTGTCCCTATAGAAAAGCTGTGTTATTTATGGTGAAGAGTGAGTGTCATTTAAAACAATGTATGATGAGTGAGGTTGTGCCCGAAAAAGAAAAACAAATGTTTTTAATTTTTTCTTTTTTTTTTTATCTTGTCACTGAGGGCCCTATTTGCTCAAGGGCCCCTGGGCACTTGCCCAGGTTGCCCATATGGTTAATCCGGCCTTGCTTTCAGCGATAAAAGGCAAGAGACACAGGATAGAAAAAACACACTCTGACACACCACTTATAGGCCGCTGCCTGGCAGGAGGCCAAGAGGAGGATAGGGTTACCGGGGTCTCCTCTTCTGAGTGGAACAGAGATGAATTACCTCAGCCCTTTTCCCCCCCCTCTCACTTTTATTCTTCTTTTCCTTTCATCCTTTCACTTCCTCTCTGCCTGCCCACTGGGCCACACACAGAAATGTACCAGGAGGTCAGTCGTTTTAGATGACTGTTGGATCGCTTTTCATTCTATGTTGCCCGCACACATTTATTCAAAGCTGAATTCAGAGCTTGGGAAGTCTCGTACAGAAACAGATCCACTGCTTAAAAAACACTTTGTGGTGTTATTATGCAGTGAGTTGTAAATGATGGCACCACGGGTCAGCGCTCCACTGGAAGGTATATATTATAATAGGTATTTGGGGGTGATTAAGCTGTGCTGGCCAGCTTGGGAGCATAAGAACGAGCAAGCTTTTAGGTGCATTAGCATACAATGGGTTGTTTTTCGGATGTGGCAAAGGCAATCTCATGGAGCAAGACTGGAACTGCAAACGGGTCCATAAAGGATATTATTTTAGAAGCCATTAAGAGTTTTGGCATCATAGTACAGATGCACTTGTGTTTCACAGTATAGACTAAACAGCAACTGTTACACACTGCCTTGTTCTGGCATTGTAAGGTTTGGGTTTGTATCCGAGATCCTCAAGATGGATCGGTGCTGGAAGCAGTCGTAGCCTGATATTCTTTCATGAATTTTAATACATTCTGCACCATAAGGGCCTCTTCCTCTCTAACTCTGTCCCTTGCTCCTCATCCATCCCTCATTCTCCCCTTCCCTAACTCTCTCCATCTGGTGCTAAACTGACATGGTGCCTCTTCTCCTGTGTGCTCCCCATCCATCACCATCTTTGCACCACGACGGCCAGCAGGAGACTGGCTCTAATGAAGCAAATGTTTATTTCCGGAGTGTGCCTCCTACTTCATTTGGAATGGGCTCGATAGATGGGGTAGATGAGGACAGGAATGGACAGAGAGCAAAAACTCTGCTTTCAAAATGGTTCCCTGTGTGTAAGAGGGTGTTATAGCGACTTAAAAACACAAGAAACGTTCCCTTCCGTCCGTCCTGCCTGTAACTTTTAACAGATAAGCGTCATTAAAGCATTACTTCCAGGTTAAAACATTTGTTTTTAACACAATATGTTTTTAATAATCTGGCTTCTTTGAACTCTTCCCCCCTCTCCAGTTGTGAACTGCACAGAGCCGGGTCACGTGGAGAACAGCATCAGGCAGATACTGGCGAGCGGGCCGCACCGCTACAGCTTCCAGACCGCTGTGTCGTACCGCTGTAACCCCGGATACTACCTGCTGGGCACCAGCTCCCTGTCCTGTCAGGGGGACGGGACCTGGGACCGCTCCCTGCCAAAATGCCTATGTGAGTATCTCTGGGGTTGGTTGTAAGTGAAGCAGGATCAAATTGTATAAGAAGATAATGGTAATACTGTGTAAACTACCCAGATAACATCTACTCCACCTTTTTTAAGTTTTGAAAATGGATTATCAAAAAGCAGAATTAGTCATCCTAGTGACTTATTTTAAATGCACCTTTTTTTTAAATTCAGATAATACACTTAATGGCCTTGTTTTGCATTTGTAACCTAAAGAATCCCATTGTGATAAATAACTAGCAGTCTTACCTCACTAAGTTGGATACGTTTTTTTTATGAAATATAGTCTGATACTGTGAAATGTACTTCTATGACTTCCCTAAAACAAGTCAATCAATTGAACATGTGGTTAACTGTCTCGTCTCTCTGCTCTGATTTGACAGTGGTGCTGTGTGACCGCCCCAGCATGCCTCCCTACACCCAGATCTCAGGCGACCGTCGGACAGTGGGCTCAGTCATTCGCTACACCTGCATCGGCCAGCGGAGCGTCGTCGGCAACACAACGCGGATGTGCCAGCTGGACGGCCAATGGAGCGGCTCTCCGCCACACTGCTCCGGTATGGAAAACTAAACCCAGATTGACCGTCTGCTGTTTGGAAAGACAAAACTAAAAATAACCCCATTTTGTGAAAGCCTTCAAACTTTATCTTAAGCACATTTCATTTGAAACTATGTGCCGGTGAAGCACTTTTTCTCATCCTCTTGCTAGCTCCTCGCTCATAAAACGTGATTAATTCAGGTGTAATATCACCACCAAGTCACAGTGATGCCCTCATAATGCCAGGTTCAGCAAATAAAGACTTTGCGTGGCAGCTGTTAGCAGGTAATGAGCGAAGTAGGTGGACCAAAGATGGAGCTGCCTCTCTGATCCATAGGCCTCAAGGACAAAGAGACTGTCCTCTATAAAACCGCTTTAATCTGCTCATATTAGACTGAGGAGCAGGGACGCCCACCTCGGCTTGGTTATGAAGCCCTATAAAGACATCGGCCCCCATACTCTCTGTCCTTGCAGTGAATCGCTTCAGAGAGCCTAGTTCACATGAGAAAAGCTATGGGGGTATATACACATGCAAATACAAACACATAAGGCGCGTTCACACCAAGTACTTTTCCCACAAAGGTTCCTGAGAACTGCGATTTAGTTGCGTTCACACCAAAAAGTCCCAGGAACTAAATTAGTTCTAGAGAACCTTTTTTACCCACTTTTCAGTCCCTGCTAGAGAGCAGGGACTTTCGTGGGAGAAAAATGTTCCTGTGTCTGATTGGCTGGGCGGAATGCAAACCACGCCCCGTCAAACTCCCAAAAACTTTTGTGAAGCCGCCATTTTATTATCCTCGCATCGCATTATTAGCATTAGCATTAGCCCAGCAGCTTCTCAGAAGCCAGTCCCCAACTCCGGGGACTTCCGGCCGGGGATTTTGGGCGGCAGTATACGCCGTGAAGTTGTTTGCGGCCTGCCAGTAAACCCAAAGCAGAAGAAGAAGAAGTGACGTCAGCGGCTTCATTTGCCTAATCCACCCCCAGGAACTAATTTCCGGTGTGAACGCGATCTGTACTTAGTTCATGAGAACTAAAGAGTTCTCAGGAACCTTTGTGGGAAAAGTACTTTGTGTTTGTGTATGTTTCTTTGCCAATAGGCGTGTTCACACCGACAGTGACACACAAACTAGAGCACAAAGAGAGCTGCAAGCTGATAATAAAATAGCATGCTGACAGTTGACTGACTTTCACATATGTTTCAGGGATAGGTAGTGTTTTCAAAACAGGTATTAAACACAACCATTGTTTTTGTAAAGCCTGACATTTGTATCTTTGCACTATTAAAGAAATGTTCACTAGTACTTTTTAAATTAGGAAGGGGAGCAGTTTCAAGGGTTTAAAAGAAAAGAAACAACCCTTTCTGCAATGCTGTAGGAAGTACATATATAATCTACATGTGAGCAATGTTTTTGCCTCATGATTACATTTGTATGTGTTGTCGGATTATTTTCCAGGCGATTCTGCGGGGCTGTGCGGAGATCCGGGCACTCCCGTGCACGGTATCCGTCTGGGGGAAGACTTCACGGTGGGCAGTGCTGTCCGCTTCAGCTGTGAGCCCGGCTATCTGCTGAAAGGCTCACCAGAGAGGACTTGCCTGACCAATGGGACCTGGCTCGGCACCCAACCTGAGTGTCATGGTGAGAATACATGGTTACAGTGTGTGTTGTTTTTGTATTTCTTCTATGTCATACATTGACTGGTTGAAGGGGATGGTGGATCCAAGTTTCAGAATCAGGGTTCAAAACACGTTATGCTATTATGCTAGGAGAGCCTGGACTGGTTTCAGGAAAATGAGTATGGGTTTCAACCTTGCCTCCTCACCTCTTTATCCTCACATTGATACTGAAGCGGTCATGGGAGTTCTGCCTATAATCTGCATGTGTTTCCTTTTCTTGGTAGCTGTGGGAATATTAAGTACTGAGATCTGTGCTCCTGGCTCTAAGTCCTTACAAAACCTAAGCAGGATATGTATGTACGCACGCACGTGGTGGTAAGTCAAGGACATTCCTATTTAGTGTTGGAGTATGACCTTTAAGGCAAATGTTAAGCATGCTTGCTATCAAGGAAAAAAGCTTTGAGTAAAACAGCTGCATTCAGTTGATCACAATGCCCTCTCCAATGTACTGTGAGAGTATTCTGGTCACGTCCAACTCGAGACCCCAGAGCAGACCCAGAAGACTTTGGAGAGATTGCATATCCCATATGGCCTGGGAACGCCTTGGGATTCCTTCAGAGGAGCTGGAGGACACACATGTGCAAAGTCATGTATGAACTACTGATTAAATTGCCAATACTGGAACCTAAACCTGGATAACTGTTGAATAATGAATGGATGGAAGACTTCTTAGGAACGGTAATGAATGAACATAATGTCTGAACATTTTAGTAACGCCTAAAGATGCCAGCTGTTGAGTTATGATTTTGCAGTAACTAAAGAATAACTAAAGTTCACTGAACTTCTAATGAACCATTGGCATGAATACAACATTTGCCTCTCATTTCCATTCAGTAACTTATATACTGTACATATCAATCTCTAGTGTCTTTGTGTATCCCTTCATTGCTCCACTGGAATTGTTTTAAATAATAATATTAGGATTAATATACAGGCCAACGTTTTCATTGTAGCCAGATATTTTGCTGATAAGTATTGATATCATCAGCTCTACATTTTAGTGTCTTTTCAGAGCTAGCTGATCTCAACAAATCCTATCAGTGAATTGCATATTTCAAGCTTTATATTGTGGCTAATAATGTAGTCCCTGATTGTGTAATTAGCTTATGCCTTTGAAAATGAAATGAAAGGCAAATCGCTCATTCGCATGTGTTTGATTGAGGTTTTGATCAAACTACAGAAGGTTATTTTTTTTATTTTTTTTCCCGTTTGTAACATCGCCTCCAGTCTGCTGTTGACTGCTGAAGAAGACAATTCTGTAAATGTGTAGGGACTGTGCGTCTGATCGATATTGGTCTAAAGGGCTGATACGATCCATTATTATTGCAGAGAAAGGACGGACATTACGAACAGCGAAAGAACTATGGTTGCAATTATTTTTCTACTGTCAAACATCTTTCATGCAGCAGCAATTTCCAACATTTTAACTCAACTCTTAACAGCAATAACATAAACAAAGAATTTATAATCTTGCTGTATTCCACCTTCAAGAGGGCCAGTTTATCTGCAGTTATATTGTATTTCTTTGTCCCTGCCCTTGCTTACACTCCACACACACACACACACACACACACACACACACACACACACACACACACACACACACACACACACACACACACACACACACACACACAACCACCACCTCTCTCTCCCATGCATCACGCTGCCTTACTCCCTCTCTGTTGTGTGGTTTGCTGACGAGCCGAGGCTCCCCACCTGTTCTCGGTTGGCACAGACTTCAAGGGCCAGGCCACATCTGGTCATTACGGGAGGGTGAAGCCCACGAGGCTCTGAGGGCCCGGGGCAAGCTGGAAACTGTAATGAACAGAACCCTCGCTGGCGGCTGGACAGACACCAGGGGACTTAGTGAGCAAAGGATGTGCCCATCAAAGCAGAGCTACTTATGGAGTAGGACGCAGGGGAAGACGGGGTGGCGGTAGAGTGTGTCCATGAAGAATAGCACACACATAAAGGATTGGAAAAGGAATGTGTTAGAAAACCAAGCTCCATTTGGTCAAATCTACAGTATACGTTTTATTGAACTTCATACACAGAACCAGGTAAAGTGTTAATCAATTGGTACAGGATCTTTACCTTTCTAAATCCTTATGAAATATTTGAGTTGGAGGTTAATTGGCTTCCGGTAATCGCTTAAAGAGTTTAAAGAATACTTTCACTGGTAAATTGCTATTAATTTCCTTACCTCTTTTCAAATATTATCAAAGGTTGGTAGGTGGACAGCTTGGATAGAGAGATTAGTGAATGGAAACATTGAGTCAAATGAGAAGTGTATTTTATCTGTTGTTCCTTTTCCAAAAAATGCTCAGATGAAGTCTGCAACTGATATTATCCAACACTCCAAAAAAACACCACACACACACACCCACACACACACACACACACACACACCCACACACAACTACTGCGACTTAATATTACCAAATACTCTGCTAACCTCTTGTTTTCTCTTTTGTCTTCAGTGATGTCCTGTGGAAACCCGGGAACTCCAAGGAATGCTCAGATCCTGATCCACGATGGCCTAACCTTTTCCAGATCCATTACCTACTCCTGCAGGGAGGGCTACTACTCCACCGGCCTGCTCAGCAGACACTGCACCGTTAACGCGACCTGGACCGGCAACACGCCCGAGTGCTCCGGTAATTAACGGCTCCTCCAGAGAAAGAACCAAAGTGTGTCTTTGTATAGTTGGAACGCTTCTCTTTTCCCCTCATGGACATACAGTAGAAGTTCATGCTCCAGTTGAGGAGGCTTTTCTGTTTCTTTTTCTTATAACAGGTGTGAGTTGTCCAACTGATGGCCTCTCATGTTCATTTATACTACAACACTAGTTTTCAATTTGATGGATGATTTTAAAATCACTAGGATACATATATAGACATTTTATAAGATATGAGTACAGGTAGTAAAAACAAAACATGATGCAAGAAATGCTGGAAAATATGAAAGCAATTCTAGTAGATTTTCTTTTGTGTAACTCATTACTCATGCGGATCTCTGGCTCAGTGAGAGAAATTGGTTTGAGGCCTGTCCGCTGGCACAGGCCTGACTGACAGTCTGTATCCACATGTTTCACAAAAGGCACTCAGGTGCTGTACAGAGCGGAGAGACCCCGGCAAATAGAGGTCACCAAGAGAAGCAGTTTCTTCTGAATAGGGAGGATAAACCCTAAGCACCACCATTACGGATTTCAATGCACTGTAATCCACCCAGGAGTGAAAGGCTACATGTTGTCGCACATTGGTAGATCACCTTTAGTGAGGATAGGATATGTGAATAGGCCCACTCTGGGCTAAAGGATTTCTTCTGATCTGATTTAAATTGTATGCTAAAAGAGGATTTACCTCATTACCTGACATGGGGGGGCTACTACAAGGACTATTTGGGTAGCTGCCTTGCTCTATTTTAGCCTACTGTAGCTTGAGTATCCATTTCAAATATAAAAACAAATGTTTCACTGAGTTAAATATTTTTAGCAAATTAAGTCATGCTTGTAATTATAATATATATTTATACATTTTCTGAATTGTATTGCTTTGTTTACATTGGGTTCACATGAAACTGTGGTTTTATTGGGTTTCTATGAGGACATTTTTGTTCTCTAGTTTTGAGTGTCTTTGGAATTTTCTCAATGTCGAGGACGCTTCCTTGGTAGGACATGTCTTCCGAGTCACTTCCTTCAGAAGCTAGGCAAGAATCCTTCCTGGCATTCGGCAAACAAAGAGTGGAACAGGCGAGCAAGTGTGCAGGTGTGCGTCATATGAGAGGCCCTGCCTTACATTGTCCGCCACAGATTTTGGGAAATTGGTCCGTGCGCAAAGCATTGTGGGGATTTTAAGACCGCGGAGGATACACGTGTGCAGCCTCGAAATGTCTCGCTACGAAGGACGCCGGGCTCGGTAGAATTCCAAGGAGCCTGGACATTGGAACTGTCCTTCGGCGGGACTCGATGGCGTAGCATCCTTGAAATAGTGGCTCTGGAGCATCCTTCCTTGACATTGAGAAACACCCGCTATGTCGGCTACAATGTTTTTTACAGACTTATTATGGGAGCTGAATTGGATCTAACAAAGTTGTAAAAAAGTATAGTAAATCATTTTCTTGTCAAAATGCATAAGGCATTAACACATCTACATATATTAAAACATTAAAAAGCCAAAAAAAGTGATGCATACAGTAAGGGTTAAAAAACATTTGAATCCTATAATGTCATGTTCCAAAGCAGTGAGTGGCACTTTTCTAGGAAGTATAACAACATAGTTACACAAAAGGAGGAAATCATCTCACTGTATCTCAGCCCTGCAGGTATTACACAGTCCTAGAAAGGCATTATGGCTCCAGGCGACTCAGTTCTACCAGCCCGGTGGGAAATCTCTAAGTGCTTGCTCAGTGAAGGGGAGACGATACACCTCAAAAAGGCCTGGTTTGCTTACCCTGCTGGGGATTCTTCTAGGAATCTTGGTCATATGCATTTAATAACTCCTTGTTTCCCACTGCAACATAGCACAAGTTGTCCTTCTGTGCCCTGGATGTTCTATCTTAGTCATATACACGGCAATGAAGCTGCTGAGTCACACAGTGGAATTCTCTCTGTTGTTCCTCAATCACAATGTTTTCCCCGCAGGATATTAAAATAGAATCAAGGAGAATGTGGTTTGTTTTTATGCTTAAGGGAGCCACTGTAGAGGGATACCCATCAAAGAGTTAGTCTCTTTGTACCCTAAAAGCTCTAAACTGGAGAAAATCAAAGTGCACTGATCCTTCATATAAAAGATTAAGTCATACTGTCAGGGATATCATTTGAAGCAGAAATGCATCGTAAGTCATATTTGTAAGCATATGAAAAGAATACACATATTATTATCCCTGTAAAGACATGTGAACTTTGCTTTTTCTTGGATTGTTACGTGTTGTGTGTGAGTTAAACTGCCTATGTAATAAAACAGTTCATTAACTCTTAGCTCCATCCAGTGAGCCACTTTAAATAGTTTGTTTACTTGCTGGTATTTCAATCTCACTGTTTGATAACGACCTTGTTCTTTACATCGCACAATCCAATGGGAAACTAAATCATCAGATACTTTAGCTCAAACAGAGTAAAAAAGCAAACTGACTTTTCTTTTGAATGTATTTTTCATTCACCTAAACAAACCACAATGTCTGTCTGCTTTCATTTGATTATACTTCTGTATCCTGTTATGTTTCTGCAGTAATACACTGTGGTGACCCTGGAGTGCCAGCCAACGGGGTGAGGTCGGGCAATGCTTTTACATACAACAACACAGTGAGCTACCAGTGTACTCCTGGCTTCACCATGGACGCTGACAGGGCCTCGACTCTGAAGTGCACCAAGGACCGCACCTGGAATGGCACCAAACCTCTCTGTAAAGGTAGAGTTGTGTAGAATTATGTAAAGGACAATACAATGATGTAGTGCCAAAATCTCTAGGTATACCTGTATTCATATCTGTGCCAAAAATGTCTCTTAACTAAAAGAGAGAAGAAACAGCGTTGGTCAGATTCAGACCAGGCCGTTACGGTTATGAACAAGCGTTATCTAAATTATATGTTGAAATATTGAATAACCAAATCATTTTATAATAATAAAATAAAAACTGCAAAACACCCATTTAAATGTATGTTATTTTACTGCATCTGAAAAAAGCAATGACATGTACGGCTAGATTGAGATGAGAAAGTACATGAAAGGAACGAGTAATTATAGAAGGCTAGAACAAATTAATCTTATACTTATACGTGGTCTAAAAAGCATCACATCATTCAGACCAGTATACAGAATCCATGAAGTCCTGCAATGTCTCTTTGTCTCCTTGCAGCAATCGTATGTGGTCCAGCACCGATCATCCCTAACGGACAGGTTGTCGGTACAGACTTCATCTGGGGCTCTAGCATCAGCTACTCCTGCAACCAAGGTTACCAGCTGTCCCTGCCCACTGTGTTAACCTGCCAGGGCAACGGCAACTGGAGTGGAGAGAAACCCCAATGCTTCCGTAAGTGGCACCACACTGCAACACCCAATTATATTATACCGATAATTGATGTGTCTTTGGCTTGTCCTTTACCCAAGCATGTCCATAATGCATGTCCCATGTGTGACATTTCAACTCCATGGAAGATATTGGATTTAAAAGCAACATGGTTACTAGGTCCTCTCTCATTTCCCATGTTCCCTTCTTCTTTATCTTTGCAGCTGTGTTCTGTGGCGACCCGGGGATGCCAGCCCAGGGGAGGAGGGAGGACCGAGGATTCACCTACCTCTCCTCTGTCTCCTTCTCCTGCTACCCTCCCCTCGTCCTTGTGGGCTCCACCAGAAGATATTGTCAGTATGACGGCACCTGGAGTGGCACACAACCCTCTTGCATAGGTAGGCTACTTTACCATTACCATTACCATAACATGTCACTTGTTAGACACTTTTATCCAAAGCGACTTAGATAAACTCAACTTGGGGTAAAGTGTCTTGCCCAGGGACACAACGGTATGCTGACTGCAGTGGGGATTGAACCTGTGCCTGCCTGACCTAAAGATCAGCGCACTAACGCACTCAGCTACAGCCTCCTACTTGTTGTTTTTTTTTATTATAAGAGGTCCTATTGTGCTTTTTGGGGTTTTTCCTTTGTACATGTAAATGGTCTGCAAAGGTTAAAATCCCAAAGTTCCCTACAGGGGGAGTTTCTGTCTGAAAAACTCCCCCCTGCCTGAAATCCCTTCGATTGGACTCCTTTGTTTACTTGCGGGACATAATGACACTTGCGCTTCTATTGGCTATTGCTCCAACACACTAAGACATTGACTAATCACAACAGAGCAAGCCAGCTAACCAATCAGAGCAGACTGGGCTCTGGTTTCAGACAGAGGGTGAAAAGAGGTGCTGCAGCACCTGTAAGAGCTGTTTGAACTTTAAAGCATGCAGACATGTCACAGTAGAGACACTAAATAAATACACACATGAACCTGAACATCAGCATGATAGTGCTCCTTTAAGGTGTAGTCTGACATGTTGTTAATGATGGAACACAGCACTTTGATGTAATGTAAGTAATGACTAACAGACAGGGCTACAGGCAGTGGTTGTTGGCAACAGTGTGCATGGCCTGGGGCCTTGTTCTATAACCAAAGCACAGAACATAAAGCAATATATGCCTTTACTTTTATATAAGAGAGAAGCCTCTCATTGGCTGGCTTGTGTTCTGCCTCCTCATGTTCTCCCTTGTCGTCCTGATCGCAATCAAGTACTAATGCATGCAAAAGCCATTTAAACCAGCTAACAAGCTGTATCGATTCTGTTCTTTCCCATTCTGATCTGTGTAATTTATTAACCCAACAGAGAAGGTTTACTCCACCTGTTTCAGAATACTCTTGGTTGTAGACATATTGTGGAGAAACTGTAGCTCTAGCATTGCAAGACTGCACCAGGAGCACATTTTACCAAATTTGCAACATACAAGCGCTCATTTGTAATGTGAGATCAATGATTGAGGCCAACGCTGCACTTGACCCATGCATGAGGACAATTGTGCCACCTTCTGTGACTTATATGCAAGCAGAACTTTCAAAACATCTTTATGTAACTGCCAGTATCAAACTTTTATTTTGCCTTTGTCATCACAAAATATTGTTTTGCTGCTGCAGTAAACATCCCCCAAGCAATAAACCTTCTTAAAAAAGGAAGAGCACTACCGATGACTTACAAGTTATACATTTGGAAGCTGTAGTAAGAAGCACTCAAGGAAATCACACTCTCTTGTCAGAAACAAATTCCAATGAAGTACAAAGTATTGTTTCAGCCCTTTGGATCTTTGTGGTATTTAAAGTCTTTTTAAAGAAAAATGTGTGCTGATGACAACATTTGACCTTAGAACAGTTTGTTTAACATGAGTTAACTATGGCAAAAAACTGTGTGTTTAGCCTTTCAACATAGTGCCTGTCATGTGAGAGGTCAACTAAGATGTAGTGGTTATGTAATCAATTTAAGATAATATGAATCTTACAACACTTTTAGTTGCTATACATTTACTCGTAAGGTCTCTTGTGGCTTTTTGTTCCACTTTTAGATTATACAATGGCTAAAACAATCCTCTTGTAAGTGACAACAGTTCCATTTCTTCTTGAGTTAGTTTAACATTTAACTCACGGGAGGAAAGGTAATTTTCTCCCAGGCCTATTGCCGGTGTCTTACCCACTGTAGGCTGCAGTAAATAAAACATTCAGGCCCAACGTTTGTTTGGTCTGATAACGGCTTACAGTCTATCATTGTGTTATTGGCTGGTCTGAGCACGGACAAAGTGTTCAATGAAATACTTTCTAGGAATTATCTATGCGAGTGTTTCCTAAGAACGAATGCATGTGTATGAGTGCATGGTTGTCCTTCACTGCTACACTCAGTATTCCAGACAGACACAGTATGTGAAACGAACAATTCCCATGCTGTACCTAGCTAATTCAGCTATATATGTGTTTGTAGTGGATGCATTGTGTAAAGCAAATACTTCTTCCTTTGATTTGAGTTACATCAGAATTGCTGTTTGTGTGTTTCAGATCCCACTCACACTACCTGTGGAGACCCCGGCTCGCCTCTCTTTGGAAATCAGAACAACTCTCAAGGCTACCAGGTATGAACAATGTGTTCATACCGAATTGAATACATGTATTGAACAGAAATATCATTGTGAGCTTTTTATATAAGCATGAACATTAATTTGCTACTTTTAAAAATCATGATATTTTTGTTTATATATTTTTTTTTTATTCTGTACCTTTTATTTGCCACATTGTGAGCCTTAATGTTGAATAAAGGACTAGCTCAGTATCACTGTTACGAGAAAACTATCTTTTTTATTTTCATAGTTAAACTGTGACACAGTCAGCGGCAGATCAGAATGACTTGGATGTCCTTTTATGTTGTACAGATGTATGGCAGCAACTTGTATTCATTATAGTAAATCTGCTAAATCTTATGGAAAATTAACCAAGAGTCCATTGTTAATGTACGATATTTCAAATATAACAATTTGTTGAAATGTTTAGTTTTTTAATCAAAAGTCCACAACTAAAAACAAACCTGACACAGAGAAAAAGCAAACTATACCACATATATGAATATAAAATGTTAATAACATATTCTTATCACATGTTTGGACTAGCAAACCCCCCAAAAATGTATTTCACTAATCAAATACACTGCCTCTTCTTTCTGTACAATCCTCTTGCTGTTATGCCTAATACACTTTTTCTGTTCCTGGTCTGGTTTCTCATGCTGACGTGTGTCCTCTTCCAGATCGGCAGCATTCTGTTCTTCAGCTGCAGAAAGGGCTACTTACTGCAGGGCTCCATCTCTCGCACTTGTCTGCCCATCCTCACTTGGAGTGGTTATCAACCTGAGTGCATTGGTAAGTACACAGTCTACCTATATTTAAAAAAAAAAAATACATGAGTTTGCATAACTACAATTATTAGGCCCAACATCCAACCTTTTCAAACCTGTTCCTTTATCTCTTCTTTTTCTGTCCCTTTAATCCTTCTCTCCCTTCTTTTCTGCAGCCCACCACTGCAGCCAGCCGGAGATGTCGAGCCAGTCTGATGTGAGAGCCATCGAGCTGCCGTCCCTTGGCTACACGCTGATCTATACATGTCAGCCGGGTTTCTACTTGGCCGGAGGATCAGAGCATAGGACCTGCAGGTCCGATGGGAGCTGGACAGGGAAACAGCCTCTCTGTGAAGGTATACACATGTATACATTACATCCCTAAGGGAACATGGAGATGATATTAAATATGCAAACACATGCACCCTTTTTGCTTTTGCCACTGTTACATTTCTACACAAAGCAATCAGAGATACATTCACAGGAGCTTATAAGATCACAGACTGTCCCACACAGATGTAATAAACACTTCATCCCACATTTGTATTGTACCGTGTCCGTTAGCAGTCTCCATTGAAACTGCTTGGGTCCATAATGTGCAGACTTCAGCGGTGACTCATGGTGGGAAATTGGGGATTGAGCTAATGTTGATAAATAGCTGTGTTAACACTTGCTTATTCTCAGACACATGCCAGGGCAGGATGGACCATCTATCACAAAATGGCAGAGCATTGAATTGCACCCACACATACACACAGACTCAGACACACACACACACACACACGCTTTGAAACATTAACAAGGGTGAAGAACCTGATTAGACCAATGCATCCCATTGATTAGGTTAGCAGAAGTACCTCCTATAAATGGCGAAGGCAGCGTTAACAAGATCTCGCAGACAAATAGACTGCCATTAAGACACCCCCAAGTATTGGCCTAAATACATATAGGAAAAAAAATAGAGTCATCGACCCACAATTATCGAGGTTAGACAAATGCTAATAGCTTAAAGAGAAAGACGTACTCAAGGGGAGCTTCCATACGATGGATCCTGTGGCGAGCCGTTGCTGAAATATAGAGGGTGATGGGTGTTTTTTAAGGCAGTGCCATTAAGACTGAAGGAAAGAAAGTGAACTGGCCTTACCGCATGCAGGATCTTAACAGCGCCTGTGGGGGCTGTGATGGAGCGGAAGCTCAAAAGAGTGGCAGGTGATAAAGTCCACAACAGAGGGATGGTGTTTGTGTCTGTTTGCATTCATCCAAGGTGATGTTTATGCTCATAAACCACCATCAGTATACCTGTCTTTGTTTGTAGTTGCATGAAAACCCTCTTCGCTGTGTTTGTCTGCGTGGGTGTCTGTTTACTACTGCGGTGCAGCCCTGTGGCCCCGTGTGAGCAGTAAGGCATTATTAAAGTGCTTCCCCTCGAAGCTGTGAAACTGTGCCTCTGCCTCAGACGAAGCCCCACAGGGACCACCCGGGCTGCTCTTTGACGCTCCAGTCAAGTCCTGTCGCAGGCAGGCCTCACTCTGTCCATCGCATCGTTATTAGTCATGGAGCCAGACAGAAAGTGCTGATAGTGACATCCTCCCACCTCAATTATCATAGGGCTGCTAAAAAAAGAAAAAATGTCTATCTTTCAGGATAAACTTGTTAATTAGTTTTTGAGTTAACTCTGTTTTGTTGTGCTCTTCAGCTGATAATCGCTCAAGTGGTAACAGCCCAGTGACAGTGCAGGACCCACCCTCAAAGCTACCAGGTAAGCTTCAAACGTTTTTTCACAAGCTTAAACTTTTATTTGTTTCAAATTGTGTCTATAATTAGTTTGTCTTTGTTACTTTGTGGGACACTGTTGTAGATTTTACTTCTGTTAAGTAGCTGGGGGATGATCATCAAAACAAGTTACATTTTTCTATACTTTGATTTAAATTACAGTAAGTGTTAGTATTCACTCTCACCAGTGCTAACTTACCCTATCATCTTTGTTCCCTGACTCTGTTGAGCCTAAAGGTAAACAAACCACTGAAGTCGCCTGGCACCAAGGACTTTTTTGTTAGCTAAAATATCCTTTTCTTTGCCACCTCTATCTCCACCCGTTGTCTCTTTTAGTCCCTGTTGACGTTTTCGCTAAGAACTCTCTCTGGAGGGGCTCCTATGAGTACCTGGGGAAGAAGCAGCCAGCTATGCTCAGCATCACTGCCTTTGAGCCCTTCAGCAACCGGGTTAACGGGACGCTCATCGACCACAGCGGAGTGGAGCTCAAACTGTCTGGTTGGTACTCCAAAAGTAGAAATCACTGTCAAGACATTCAACTCACACACATACGCCTTCAACCTCATACCAGAGAGCTACTGGTTTTTATCCAAACGGACAATGTCAGAAAAATCCCAATGATGACAAGGAGCAAGGAAAACAGTGCGGTCCCAGCATGGAGGAGGCCAGCGCAGCAGTTACTGAACAGCTTTTATTTGATTTCCTTGTGGCATAATCACCCTGCAGCTGTGGTCATTATGACACACATTTGCAACCTGTCGGCTTGGACACTTCACTGCATTGTACCTGGAGTGAAGTGTCCAAAAAACACTATAAAAAACTACAGTGTTGTTTTTCACAGCTACAAATGTCCACACTGTGACGTAACGCGCAATATACAAATAACCTTTCATTATTATAAAATCATACAGAATTAGTCTTCACCTTCAAATTTCCCAGATACTGTTATCGATAGAATCGCCTCATTCTTGTCCAGAAACACAAATCACATCAGTAAGCCACACTTTTGCACGAAGTGACACTAGTTAAGCGAATAAACAAGGGGAATAGGTAATGTTTTATTATTTTTGTATTTACTCTCCATAGTTCATTGAGTGCAAGCCCTCATTTACATTCAGATGTTACCCCTCTGGGATGCTTATATTGCTACAGCATATTTCTTTAAGACTGCATCAAGATTTCTGTCATAGATAACTAAAAATGGCTGCTAGTGGAAACACAACATGATAAGGAAAGGTGATGCCATGATCAGAGGACGTATCAGATTTAGTTTGAGTCCCTGTACGTTTGTAGATTTATCCGATAATCCTTTTGAGTTTGTGTATTTGTGGTTTTTGCTGCAAAATAACTGTTAACCATTTCTTCTTGTAGGTACGTTTAAGAAGGAGGAGGCTCAGCTGCTGCTGCAGGTCCACCAGATCAGAGGCCCTGTGGAAATCTTTGTCAACAAGTTTAAAATTGACAACTGGGCCCTCGACGGACATGTAAGTGCAAAACAGCACCTCCATATGTAACGGCAGAGATTTCACATCACACAAACACACACACCTTTTATTGTGAAATATGCACGAGCACACATACACACTAACCTTGTCACTCTGGGGAGATGGAGGGCCCACCAAGAGTTTTCTCTTTAATTAAAATGCCAGTTAAATCATTGCCTCGTAATCAGGACTCGACAGACCCCCTCCACTCCTCTTCCACCCCCCCCCGATATATATAATTAAAAAAGCAGGTCACAGTAAATGTGTGTGTCCCACTGGTTTCACAAGCCTCGCAGCACTCGAGTGTTTACGTACTAGCATGCTGCGCAGAGAGGAATACTCCTTTTGTGTAAAATGCTGGCGTGTGAGTAGCAGCACGGCTGAGCGTGTTTATTTTTGCGCTCTTGAGCAGAACGTCATATAACATGTCAGCCATAAGAGCACCTCTCAGCTCCTTTGACATGATATTTCATTTCTGCGTGCACCAGCTGCTGACACTTTGATGATACTCTCCTTTGTAAAGCCAGGATGTGACACATAAAGTGACTGTCTTCCATTCCTCTCTCCCTAGGTGTCCTACATCTCTTCATCCCACTCCTATGTGTACCAGGGATTTGTCAGAGGAAAAGGCTTTGGCCAATTTGGTCTCCAGAGACTCGGTGAGTGAGCCGTCCACTTGGATATAGAAACATCTGTGACCGAACGTTCTCTTTGGGGACCACTGTAGGTTCTGGTTTTTTCCTTTATAGATTTATATCACTGTAATCTTTCACTTAAACTCTGCATGGCATCTGTATGCCCTGCTGCAAGTCCTTTTATAACATATACGTATATGTACCTTCGTAGATGTGAAAACACTTGTGGCCAGTGTGGCTTTACACTCAGCATTCATCGCGATACAAAAACAGTTCAAACACCTGATATATTGTCAGAAAATGATTTCCTAACACACTTCACCCACATGACACAGCTACAGAAACGTTTTCTCTTGGAGTTTGTGGCTAGTGTGCCACATCTTGCAGATTGTATATAGTGAATATGACCCTTTAATTCCTGTGTGTCATTCTTTAGTTCCCTTCAGAGCCCTCTGATATGCTGTCTTACTGTAGATATAGAAAATGTTTTCAAAAGACTGCTGCCAAACAAATATTCACTTCATGTTTGTGACCTATAAATCCAGCCAATAGTATCCTCCTCGCTACAGTTTGTATAGAGCCACTGCTTAGACCCTGACTCAATAGTTCTGCATGCTGTTGGAGTTATGTGTGTGTGACATCATGTCCTTTTATTAACGTTAACTCTTCAGAGCTAACTCAATGAGGCAACATGAAAACATAAAATTATATATGTAAATTTCTAAATATGTTGCCAGGCATTTTTATTTAGTGAACTTTTTTAAAGATAAGTGTTGGAAACAGATGGATGCTTTCCTTTTTATTCTATGTATTTGATGTTTGCCACTTCACAACGTTAGTAAACTGCTCCCAGCCACTAGTTACGATCCAGATCCACGGTTTGTTTTTGCATAGAAAACATATTAATTGCACATCATTTAAAACGCATGCCGGATTGGAATGACTCCATATTGTATGTAAAGGAAACTGAAGATAAGAAGTGCACGTGCACAAATAAATCATTTTGGGATGGAATTGACCAGTGGAATTCAGATTAAGTGTGTTTGTGATTGGTGAAAGTTGTGTGAGCATAGTGAATACTGCCATAATGAGAGAGGTGCTTGAACAGCAGGTGCAAACCCCCCCCACCCTGCACACTGAGCAAACAGCTCTTTATTAATGCAGAGGACTGGGCCTGGTGCCAGTACAGTCATGTGTATGTGTGTTTAAGTGTGTATGGGAATAAAGTGCATGGTGGCTGGGTTGGGTGTATTGGAAATAATTATTTTCAATTTGTCAAGGTGTCCTTTGCGTGTGTTTTCTTGCGTGAGAGTGTCTGTTTGTGTGCTTGTGCTCTACAGCGGGGAGTTGATTGGCAAACATCACAGAACCCCCTAATTGAATTCCTTCTTGTTTGTCACTCGTCCTTTATCTGAGCTTTTTTGGCATTCTGTGGCAAACAGGTGGGCTGTCACTCCACTGTTGCTTCAACACACACACACACACACACACACACACACACACACACACACACACACACACACACACACACACACACACACACACACACCCCTGCATAAATTAGAGAATTAATTTGAAATGACTAAATGGCTGTCGGCATGTGATGTCAGTAATTAAGAGTCATTTTTAGGGTGATGGAATTTGACGTTCCCAGGGGGTAAATGAAAAGATTGTTTTATTCCTGCTTAGTCTATTATATATAGGTGGAGCCTTCCTGGCAGCATTATAGATATATTTTATTTTAATATGTTACTGTTTCATTTTAATTTTCCTTAGGCGCTTATCTCAAGTTCTTGGCAGAAGGCAACGAGGATACTTTTCATATTGTTTTGTTAATTGTGTTATTTATGGGATTTAATTATATCGTCTACTGCTGATATGGTATTGTACTGAAGTGATGCTAATTGAAGCGCTCCATGTCTTATCTCTTTTCTTGCAGAGAGTTTAGATCCCAGCGGAGACAACACAGGATACAACTTTGCGTCCAACAGCAGCTCAGTGGCGGCAGCCATCCTAGTGCCTTTTATAGCCATGATCATTGCAGGCTTCGCTCTGTACCTCTACAAACACAGGTACGCTTCACACTGTTGCCATGGTTAACATCACTCGCCACCTGCTTACAAAATGTCCTTTTGTATTTACAAGGAAGCGTCTTAAGTCAAGTTTTAATTTGCCTCTGAAAACCACGCTGTTTTCAGATAAGATTCTTGCTTAATTTCTTTTAAGATTATTTTTGCATTCAGGCTTTAAAATACATCAGTTGAAAATCGATTTTTGTATCTGCTGAGGCGTACATTATGGAGAAAACTCTTCTCACGGCCTAGGAAACAAACGGGTTCATAACAGTGACACAGGCAGCAATTCAGTTTAGCCAAATTCATACTGAAGCACTTGATTCAATATGGTTGAATTTTTTTTTTAAATTATTTTAGTATTTTGTAGTTTTTGATATGGGTCAGACAAAAAAAAAAGATTTGAAGATGGTACCTCAGGTGTTTTTTTTCATCATTTTATAGACTTTATTTCACTCGTGGTCATTAGTTGCAGCCATAGTCTATAATATATCATATTGATTACACACAGTGTATTTAGATATATATGTATGATTTATACTTGACATGTTGAATTTCCCACTTCTATGTGTACTGATTGTTTATTATATTGATCTGTGTGATGCAGAAGAAGACCCAAAGTCCCCTTCAATGGTTACGTGGGCCATGAGAACACTAATGGGCGAGCTACGTTCGAGAACCCGATGTACGACCGCAACATCCAGCCCACGGACATCCTGGCCAGCGAGACAGAGTTCACCGTCAGCACAGTGTGCACAGCTGTATAGCCACCGCTTCCTCCAGAGGTGAGCAGCCCAACACCACCAGGTCACATGGCTTTGTTCATAAAGTAAGGACTTAGAGCTTCAAGTTCCACATTTCTCTGAAAGCAGATGAAGTTATCACCTCGGGACAAATTACAAATCTAAGGCATCAAAAGCTATACAGATTCTCAGAATCCAGCCATTACTAAAACTTTTACACCGTCCCTCCAGAATAGGATAGAACATTTGATTTATTTTTACTGCTGCAGCTCCTTTGATCTGCATCTCTCATATAAATGGAATCTGTTTTATTGATTTATACTTTATTAAAAAAGCAAGAGTATGTATTGTTTTATTTAGTTTTCAACACTGATGAGAAATAACATGAATGCCTGTGTCTTCTCTTTTCTCTGCGTTCTCCCTCATATTCATCTCCTTTCTTTTGGTTCCCTTACCTTTTGTCTCCCTTTATCCATCTTTCTTTTTTGCTTTACTGTGTTTCTTTTATTTTCAACCCTTAATTCCTTCTCTTCCATTCTCCTACCCTTGCCATTTTCCCCTCACACCCTTTTAACCCTTCATACCTTACTCCCATGCATTCATCCATGATTCAGTTCGGGGAGGAAAAGTGCAGCACATCTTCGCCTGCCTGCCAGAAGAGGACATCCATAGTTCCTCGAGCAGAGGGAAAGACAAAGAATATTTTTATCTGCTGAAATACATTCAAGAAACATCTCCAGTGGCAAAGGCTCTTACGACGAGAGAACAAAGAAACCATGTGAAGACAACGACTGTAACAATTGCCAACGACAAAATGCTTTTTGTAACTTTACATGGTTTCTTGATCAATTTCCATTTTTCGAGGAAAAAGCTTCAACGTGAAGCTTCAGCCGGCCGGAGAAACGCTGGAAGCAAAGCTGTGATGACTTTTCTCACCGCGCTCCGCCTAAGCCCAAAGGGGATTTTATGGTCAACTTGAAGTCTAGAAAATTGACCTGTAGCTAACAGAGAACTCTGTGCAAGTGAACTGTTAGGCGGACCGCACCGTGTCGGCCTGTGTGAGACGGAGAGAGACAGTCTGGACTGTTTCAGTTCTGTTTTCCATTTGCTTTGCTTTCCTCTCTTTTTATGCTGCTTGCTTTCTGTGATGAGTAATTGGGAGCCCTGATTTACCCCAGCTGTCTGCTAGAGGCGGTTGAAATGTTTCATCCTCAAGTCTATGGCTGAGAATGAAGAATTCAGTAAGTTTTGAAGGCCATGTTGGACAAACACATGCCATCGCTACTTTTTGAGCTAGACTCTGCTCATTTTTTTTCAAGCAGTGATGACATTCTGCTTGCAGAGGCAGCTGTGTCCAGAGCAGGGGTTAAGAGGTAGCAAAGGCTGCTGAAAAAGCACTTGTGAGCTTGTGGAGAGTCGCTGTGCATATGTGTGCTCGTTTCTACACACATTCCTAGTGGCTGCATCTTCAATCTCCCCAAAAAAATATGTCTGTTCTGGCCCCAAAGATTCCCGTTAACACGACAGATAATTGTACTAATAATTTTCCACATTTATTGTCTTTTCTTTTTGAAAGAATCTGAGGATTGGGTTTAGGATTATCAATATACCTGGATGTTTTGGACAACTAAAAAACATAAGGATACTAAGAGCAAAAGCTGACAGTGTATAGATCCTCTAAGAAACTGAAGGCAGTGTCACTCTCCAAACTTTCACCCACTTTCTCTTCATTCATGTGCAGTCACTTTAAATGTGTGTGTTTGAGTGACTGGGAACAAGACATGGATAAAGACAAATCCTCCTCGCTAACTAATGCACCTAAATCAGACGTTAAGAGGCAAAACTCCCACATTTTATTTACATAACAATTGTATGCCAATTTCGTGCCACTGTCACTTCCTGTTAAGTAAACATGGCAACTGCAATTAGGTTAATTAATATGGATGTATAAACGTTTATGGACAACCGCTGTGATCTTTCCCTTTCATTTTCAAAAACATTAGAACAAGTCTGTTGCACCAAGTTACAGAGCAACACATGGAACTTCATTTTTTTGTAAATGCTCAAAGTGTGATGTCAAATTCTCCTCTTTTTGCCTTCCTTTTTAATCCCATGTTTCTGCAGCTTGAAGGTGGTACGTTCTGTATTTTCTAGAGATCGGTTTGCAGTGTGAGCTCCCTAAACCTGTCCTTAGGAAAACAAAGATCAAAGTACGGCCACGTTTGAACTCCCTGAAAGTGTACAAGCGAAGGCGCTTGGGTCTGAAGAATGGATGAGTCAGTGATGTGTTCCCTCTGGATAACATTCAGGTCTTTTCCTCCAAGTTAACTTCTGACAGCTCCATCTCGGTGAAAAACAGTCAAGTTGCCCTGTTCTGTCTCGGCTCATCATGGAAATGTTCCAGAAGGCTTCCTCGGAGCTGTGAGAGCAGGGGAGTTGCTGGCATACTAATTACTCCCATGCATTAAATTGGTTTATGTGAAAGGAAAAACAAGTGTTTATGCCTCTTATGCTAACACTCCTCAAATCTGTGACAACTGGGGAGTGATATACACTAAGTATTGTTTTGAAAGTGCGACACACGAGGGAACTGGCTTCAGCTCTAACAACAGGACTGTACCTCCTGAATTAATGAAATTCTAAGAAACATTCATGCTTTTGTGACCCCTTATAATGTGTCTAAAATGTGCATTAGCGGTGGAGTTAAAGGAAAGACACCCACTGGATTTCAAACACTCTGCTCCCAGCTATTTGCCACTTACTATCCCCATTTCTGTGTATCCTGAGCGGGATGAATGGTGCTCAAATTTCTCTGCAGCAAATTGACCCATTACATGCAATTTGCTTTCATTAGCCTTGCTTCATTGTCGAACCCATATCAAATCCTAAAATTCACCTTACCATTACTGCTAACAGGACAGTGGATGTTTGAAAATGATAAAATCAACATGTCTTTGATTTGCCATGTACTTTGTATCTAATTAGTGTTAGAAACAAGGAGAACTATTTCATTGTGCATGGATTTTTTGGGGTAAATTTGCGTATACATTATAATACATGTACATGCGAAGTGGCTTACGCAGTCAAAACAAAACCTCTATACCAATCGAGTCTTTAAAGCCAGCTACAGTTAATCATTTCCCTCAGAAATCCAGGCTTTTGAAACCAATCACTATTGCTTCTTCAATTAGTTTCACCGTGAGTCGGTAATTGCTTTTACAATTTTATTACTTTTAAAGCTCTCGCTTATCTCGACAGTACAGGTAGAATATTGCCCCTTGCCTGCTCTGGTCGTGAATTGAGGGAAAAGGAAACGATTGAATTACCCTGGAGATTTCACGGGAAGAGGGGCCGTTGTGCTCACATTATCTTGAAGACACTGTAACTCAGTTCTCATCATTGTATGCAGCTGCTGCATTGTGCATTTCATTTGTTTTTATTCTGAAGCTGCTCCAAATATTTCAGCTGAGTCGATAGCTTCATTACATTTCCGTTACTTTCAGCTAAGGCCACTCTGAAGTGGTGTTTCCGCTCCATTCATCCCTCCCAGGGCAACGCTTAGCGCACTTCAACCAACACTTTATTAAGCTCCGTTGAGTATTAAATAAACAAATCTGATTAGCTGGTGCAATAGGACATGAAGCCCGCCGCTCCCTGGATGGAACTTGTCTAATTGGCTAGATTTGGACTGCATATTTGGACAGACATAATACAGAAGCATAAGCTCACAGGACTATGATTGTTGTTAACCAGAAAGGGCTGAGTCATGAGAAATTCAGAAATGGTTTGAAAAGGCCAGAGCACTTTACATTTATTACAGTGCCTTGGTACGACCACATGATAACATGATAGGATCTTTATGTCAGATATTGAAATTAAAACTGCTCATTGTTAAGTCCTTGTTTCATATCAACCTATGTAACTCCCACACACAGTCACATACCTACAAAGAAAGCTGGGTGAGCTTATTAGGATCATTCCAGAGAAACTGAACAATCCATTTTTGCCTCTTTTGCTTTTCCTAAAAGAGCAATGAGCTCATTAGTGCTCTGTTTCAGTGCGTAATGATTCATGTCTTGGATGCTCCATGCTTGCCTAAATGTTTGGAAGAGCGCTTTTGTTTTGTGCGTTTTTGAGAGTTACCTTTTCTACCAAAGAATATTATTCAAATCTAGCCGAATTAGAATTAGGCTGATTTACTAAATGAAGATAAATTATTCCATTCAGCTTCATTTGGTTTCACTCTTTAGAAAAGTTTTTAATGGGCAACAAGGCTTTTTCAAAAGTGTATTCTGCAGAATTGGGAGTTTTCACTTAATGGGCCCTACATTTTTAGAAAGACTTTCTTTCTAACCCATCGGAGTTAGTCCAGAAAGTTCTCAAAGAAAGTGCGATGCCGTTTTATGAAAATGAAGATCAGTGAGCTCCGGATGGAGCTGTGCTATAAGAGTCTGAAGAAACTCTTTCTTGATACCGGCCGGCTACTTCCTGGTTCTCTCTTTGCATATTTTAAGACAGAATCTCTGATCATCCAAGGTTCATATTCCGTTATCAGCCAGAGACAGCTCTGAGTTCTCTCCTGCTCACCATCTCCTCTATAATGAAAGAAAAAGCAGCGATGGTCTTTCAGTTCCCCTCGAGTTCACTGAGTATTCTCACAGACTGAAAGCTTCCCACTTCTTTCTGCAGCTAGTGCTCAAACTCTTCAGCACAGGCCACAGTGTACCAGTATAAAAAAGTGTGTTTAAAAATCAAGCAATCCATCTGTCATGCAGTGACAGTGATTCTGCATCAGCCATCATTTGTCATCTCCCATCTTCCATTGTCACCGCAGTGTGGTGACGGCTACAGAAAAGCCACATCCACCTGCTGCTTAGCTCCCATTCCATTTCAGTGTCTAGAGGAAGTGAGCATTGGGGAGAGGATAAAGAGATTTGTTTTGAAAAGTTTGGGAACTTAGCTGATTTGTATTCTTTAAATGGATAGAGCAGTCGACTTGTGGTTGGTGGTCAGATCTGGGACTTACTGGAAAACTACTGAATGTATATTTAATTTCTCTTCAGAATTGATCTCTCTCTACTGTTTTCAATATCTGCAAATCCCACAGCATCTTCTCTCCTTGCAAGAAAATCTGCTTTTTCACAGTGTTTCATCCTTGGAAATAAAACAGAGTGTCCAATTTATCTAGGGTATAATATAGCAAACATATTTACAGAAAGCTGCTTTTTATTATTGGAGACTTTAAATTCCTGTATTTTTCTCACAGTAAAAATTCAAAACAAGGTCCATGTTTATTTCCTCTTTTCCCTAACACTATTCATGCCAGCCCAGTACATCTCTCAACTAGTCTCTGAGATTAAAACTAACTAACCACCCTTGTCGCCTAGGTGAGATCAACAAGGCTCTTGAACGCCAACAAAACAGTAAAAGGCAGAGACTCCATGTCTATGTCTTGCGGTACACCAAAAGGGTTACCTGTAAAGAAATGGACTTAAGCAGACTGAGTGTAACTACGGAGAGCAACTAAAGAGCGAAAGTGTCTCTAAGAAAAGAGAATATGTTAACGAATAAAAAACTTTTTTTGTACAGAGATATATTTTTATGGAAATACATTTTGTACATGTATAAAAAAAAAATGGATTGACATATATGTAAATGTTTTTCTTTTTCATTATTGTAGTACAAATGCTAGTGGGGAGTATAAGAAAAATCTCTATATATAAATATATATATATAAATATATACAAAGAAAAATAGAAACAAGGCTTTTTGTATATGTAAAAAAGATTGTACATAAAAGTTTACATACATACTGTACATATGTAAGACCCACCATGGCTTGTCTGCAATATATAAAATGTATTTTATCCGTCTGTATATGATGCTTTGCATTGTGTCTAAGCTTATTCTACTTTCTTGAACTTGAAACTTATTTTGAAGGTTTTGGAATAAAATATAAAACCTACTTCACGTCTGAGTATTTATTAAATGCATGCTTTATTGCCTCAAGCCTGGAACCCATCAGCGAATCATGCACAATTACCCTCTGAGAGTTCTTGGCAACGGCATCGCATACAACCCAGCGCAGATGATCTTATGTGGGCCAAGGTATCTGCTTCCACTTGGTGTGTTGAAGTATATTATTTTCCTTGGTAAACGTAAACAAGCAGTGCATCCTTTTGTGCACGTATAAGTGTGTTTATGTTTGAAATCATGAGATCTTCCCTCTGGGTGTCAAAGGATTTTGTTCAATAACATTCCTACCAAGCTCAAGGATTTATTATTTACCCGTTGACAGTTTCTTTGCACACATTCAGTGTGTTGACATGGTTTACAGTGTGACAATTTCACCAGGATTAGGTTGCACTAGTTAATTGTAAATTCATTAGTAGGCTTGTGGGTAAAGTTATTTACCAATTAGCTTGTTTCAAGAGCCACAGCTATGTAAACAGGAAGTTCCTATGCAGTAGCTGTGACAACATTTGTCATCAAACAATATTGGGTTGGGGGGGTCAGGTCACATGTATTGGGTCTATCCCATTCACCTTCATCACTAAAGACATTTTGTCATGTCACAATTATAAATGATAGATTTAATGAGGGCTGAGTGCGAACTAGCTGCCCCAGTTTCAGGGTCTTGGTATTGTGCATGTTGACTGAGAGACTCTACCAGAGCATCAGGCTATAAGTAAATAATGAGTGTGATGTAACTGTGCTAACTAATACCTTAATGTTTTTATTCTTCACTCTAACCAGGTCTTAGGTTAGCAAGCCAGTTTCATGTATTTCAGTTTCAGTGAGCCTCCTCCTATTAGTTCACTGACTTGTAATGTGTGAAAAAATATGTGAGAGAGCCTACAGGGAACATCTTATTGCACCAAAGGTCTTCATTCTTATAGGTAATGAAATGGTATACGTATATCTCTCCCGCTGCGAGGAACACTGCACCCTGCTGTGCAGCTCGTTTAGTCTGTGACCTCACCTGCTATGTGTGGCATGCACACAACCAACAGGCCAACAAATCAGACGCATTACATGCCACAGTAATTGGAAATATTGATAAGTAATGAAATTCTTAATTGGCTTATATTACTCTGATGTCTGTCTTAGTTTTAATGAGATAACCTGGTTAAAGTGTTTACACAGCAGGTGCAGTGATCTGATATTACCTTCATTTTCTTAAAGTCTAATTATTAGTTTGCATGTTCAAACAGTGAAAGAAAAATATATGTAAGTACAATATAGTTCTGTTTTTAGGCGTTACTTAATGTAAGGAGGCCGGGCTGTAATTGGCAGTGTTGTTGTTGATGCTTGAGCTTTTTAAAATGTTCAATTTTCAAAGCAGCCGAGGACACAAAATGAGATTTTAAAAGCCCCAAATCTCAGCAGTTAACTTGCTAATTAATGCATTGCTGATCTCGATACTAAGTCATTAAACAGTGTGGGCTTCTGTGCATTTCATCATTTAATGTGTTGTATATTGTGGCAGTACAGACATAAAAGCACGCCTCCAGAGCTGCACTTAGTTCTCATTTTCACTGCAGCAAAGTCGATAATGGCAGCAGAAAAATGCCTCACAGCTTTTTAAAATTCCAAGTACTAATAGACTGCAGGGAAAATGCGCTCATCTCAACTTGTATACGGAGGTTGATGTTCTCTCATACTGCTTTTTTCTTTAACCTTCAAAGGTCATATTTGCATGTAAGGAACAGTCAATCATGTGTTTTGTGTTGTTTATTTTCTGTTAAAAACTTGTGGAACAAATTCCCTGTGCTTCAAGTACAGCACTTCATATCACACACAAATATGTTCAGGGCTTCTCCTGCTGGTAGGAATAAGTGACTGTGTGTTGTAGTGTGCCTGTGTTTCTCCCAAGTATTGGCAAGGTTAGAGCCTTTTCCTTGATTGATTAAATCAACAGCCATACACGGGTCATTAGTCACTCCTGTTCTCGACCAGGTTTCCCACAGCGATTAATCAAACCTTGTCAAGTCGCCCTGACCTGCGAGAGTTTTCCCTCACAGCCGTTTAGCCCTCACGACTGGACTTTAAAAAATGTTCATGGCCCCTGTGTTTGTGTCCCGAGTCAATGCGGGGTATTAGCTGCTCTACTTTATCACAGACTGGCGATGCGGATCAAAAATGGCAATCGATTTAATTGACATGCAGATAAATCATACATGCTGACATCCTATGAGCTCAAAGTGCTCTCTGTGATTGCCTCGGCGCCAGTTTTAAATCTCAAATAATGTGTTAACGGTTTATCCTTATCTAAGGTCATTTGTTAGATCAAATGGTGCTGTGGGTGGTGAGAATCCTCTCTGTGGTTTCTGGGGAGTAAAAGTTGCTCCGGCTCACTGAGAACTTCTTTTGTGCATCGTTGATGTGAATTTCAATTCTCTGATCAGTTTTTGCTGCCATGAGTTGATGTGAAAGCATGCTAATTCTGAGTCACAGGTATTACACAAGCCAGTATTCAGAAGCCAGTGCAACGTTAACATCACTTGTACCGCTTTTCTCTAACTGTGCCACCTAAATGCCACCCTCAGGCTTTTTAATATCATTTGGGGAAGTTGTGAGGAATAAGAAATGGAAGAGAATAAGCTTTTTCGCAGGTCTCCAGAGTTTCTTCGATAGTGGATATGCGAGGCGACAATTAGCTTTGTCACCGTTATCAGCGCGTCTGACACATGACACTGACAGCCATACACTCAACCGCCTTGCCTGAGATGACAGCTTGCTCCAATTACCCAGGGGTCCGGCAGAAATGTTCCCTTTGTTGCTTTTTTTTTAATAAGCGGAGCTCATTATGCCATGCTTAAAAAACAAGACTCTGCAATTCAATGCAAGATTATTTGGGACCAATCTCTATTTATTATACGTACATATGAAGTACCTACTTGAATTGTGTCATTTCACTTTTAGCCAGCCAGTAAGTGTGATAGCTAACTAACAAACACATATTAATGACTTGGTTATTGTTAATGCTTTTGCACTGATAATGTCTTAACATATGTTTTGGGCATGGATGATGTTGTGCCTTAATCCCCTATTTTGAAATGGCAGAACATTAATCTTTTTTTGTATACATTGGTTTAATGACATTCTCTGTGTTTGTTGATACCAAGGTCAGAAGGGGCATCTTTTTTGTTGGTTCGGTCCACTCAATTTTCTGCTATCCCTTGTTTTACTTTGTCAAGCCTGGATATTTGAGGAGACATCAAAGCAGGAGGTTTACCATCGCAAATCCCCCCCAAGTGTGCCGGCCCGGGCATTGGCTAATATCACGCAAAATCCCCCCCTCTGCTGTCCCAGAAGACATTTGACCAAGGATGAAGGGATTGACTGATGAGAGGGAGTATATATTTGCTTTGTCAGTTTAATTTGTCAGCAGGGAACTTACAGCAGTGCACCGTGGGAAGGCTAACTCACTGTACTTTAGGTCACGCTCTCTAATCTCTAACAATATCAAGGTGCACTATGATTCACTTAAATTCGAGAAAGTCCTTTCTTAAAATACAATTAGTCTAATCCGATTTAAATGTATTCCACTCTGCAGAAGCTGCAAACATGCACTGTTGGGAAAAAAAACTAATAAAAACAATCTTCCCAGCCCTTCTTTGTTACCATTAACGCAGAAGTATAAGAAAGAAAGAAAGCGGAGGGAAGAACAGGCTGATAATGTATTTGTGAATCTTAGAATGAGAGAAAACTTCTCATTATCTTGAATACTGAAGAATGAGTGAATAGAAAATCCGGGCTTCATGATAACAATCACCAGAGAATCTCTAATTACCACCATCCTTGGCTCATAACAATAGGACAATAATGAATAGGGAACTGACAGGGCTCTGTTGCATGATGGGATAATAACAGCCGAGGCTCATCGGGAGGCGACGCACAAACATGGAACCAGACTCAGAAACAACTCTTTAATCAGAATCAGAAACGGGTTTATTGCCAGGTAGGTTCACACATACGAGGAATTTGACTTGATGTCGTGGTGCAGACATAAAATATAAAACAAAGAATCTCCGTATAAAACAAAAAATCTTTAAGGAAACTGTAATTAAATAGCAATAAAATAGAGCAGTAATTGTCCTCTGTGTTTTCTTTCTTTGTCCCTCCTTCTTGTCTTCCTTTTCAGCCCCCTTAAAATAAACAGGGTTAGCATGTATGCCTGTTGAATTAATTCATTAGCACATTTGTGTAATTATCAGGGTGATTAATGCTGAATCTGTAGGTAAGGAAGCTATTGATGAGTAAGATGTTTTTATGTTGGTTATTTCATACTGAATGTGCTAAGAACTTGAACAGATATTTACTTTTCCATGTCATTAACTATGAATAAAGATATAGGTGTCCTTTTTATCATTCACTGTAAAAAAAACAACTCTATTTTTGTAACATAAATAAGACACACTCAAAAATCACTCGAACAGGATATCCCTGACATTGTTGTCATTTGTTTATTCAGATCCATACGGCAAAACACACAGACATGACACAGAGGACTGCA